CTGGCATAGTGTGTAAAGATTATCCTATACAGAATTTTAGGCGGCCATGCCCGATTTTATCGTTTAGTAGTACACGCAGAATGTCAGTAGTCCACATATCTGCCTGCTACCGCAAGGTGACGAAAGGGAAGTGGTGCAATGTGTTTATTTGTTTTGGATGCGACAGTTGGTTCTAGGTAAAAGTTAGTGATCTAAGTGCGCCACGTTTACTCATTCAGGTAAAACGTCACGTATCTCGTTGTTTCGGAGATTAAACACTTCTAGACAACTATCCTTCTATGCTGCGAGGTCAGCAGATATGAGTTTCGTTGAAGAACTCCTTTTGTGCTTGAAAATGATTTACATCATGCATATGTGATGGTTACTATAAATCACATTCACCTTCTTAGTACATACAAACCGACCTTGTATGGATCACTAAGCTACATCACTGTTTCTAATACGTTTATGGTTTCAGAGATGAAGGCAGTAACAAGTAAGTACATTAATTAAAATCCGGGGAGAATTTTTGGTGTAGCAGCAGAAGTAAGCGTCTTGAGGAAGAATACGATCTGATTGCTTGACTAAAGACTTCATTATCTTGGAAAATTCTTTGTAGCAATTAACGGCGTAGCGACAACTTTTGCCACCCTGTGCCGACGTAAAATCCGTAAACCATCATAATTGCGGAGAGCCCTTAAATACATTTTCATATAACAACAAACAAACATCTACTTTTAGAGTACTAAATTCTGGCATTTTTCTTCTCACCTTATTGGTGAACAACATCTGCAGATACAGTTTCGCGCATTACTTGAGTTAATAGTACTTATAGCATTACCCATCGTCAACTTCGCTCTCTAGGTTAAAAAGTGATAATCCGTGAGCTTTGTCTGTTACAATGATGAGTAAAGATAGTTCGTTGTAAGCTTGCGTTTAAAGATTGCGCTCTCATGGCTGACAATGCTAACAGTTCGGGTAAGCAATCTGCGCAGCAGATTCCCAAGGTGCTATTTCTGTATGAGGCTCAAAAGTTCAGAAGCTCCATTAATTTGTCATTTTCTGGGGCTTTCACAATAGGTTACAATATTCTTTCAGCAAGGAATTCATTTTTTGATAGGCGTCCAGGTACACGGTAAATTGATCGGAAACATGGATAGGTATCGATTTGATGGTTAGAATAAACCAAAGGTGCCAACACTGCGCTCATCAGTTTTACTCCCGCGATTGCATAGACTAGCTGGGCAATGCACACGTATTCTCTCAGACAGCTTCCTAGTGATTCTTCCGGTGTATCTTGATCGACATGAACAAGAGAAGGAATCTACACAGTAGTAGGCACTCGACCAGGGAACTCTGTCTTTGACTTGATGCCTCACCATTATTGTTAAAGTGTTCGAACACATTCGTCCCATATGGACAGTAATCCCTACGGCTTACTGAACGTGCATAAAGAAAAACTTTCACTGAGGCCCATGCTAGACATATGCATTTCACCGTACCACGCAACAGCCAAGTGCTTAGCTAAGCATCTAGAACCGGTGAGAAAAGTTCTGTCCATGTACAGCCTACGAGACAAATTCAGTTGCTTAGACACCATAAGACAGCTTCAGCTAACTGGAAGAAACATGCTTTAGTTAGATGTCGTATGGCTGTTCACCAAGGTTCGGTTAAAAAAGAATAGACGATATGTATGACACTGTTCGTAACCAGCAATTTAGTGTTCGCCTTTCAAACGCTCGATTTAAACAGTTACACATGCTATGTACTAGTAACACAATACAGTTTAACGGGGCCATATACGGACAAAAGGATGGAGTAGTAATGGGCTCACTGCTTGGAATGCTGCCAGCGAATGTGTTCATGAGCAAATTAGAGAATACCTATCTCAGCGGAATCATCAGTGGTGTACCCTATTACGGACGATTTGTGGATAATATATTTTGCGTGACAGACAGTTACTGTTGCCCAGAGAAAATTTGCTCCCATTTTAATTCAGCGCATGCCAATGCCAAGTTCACTCTAGAATCTGAACGCCACGACACCATTCCCTTCTAGATGTCCAGATTAGTAGACCAGATGGATCAGTCCCAGGGAGGGTGCATAGAAACGCAACTTGATTATATGTCTGACCGAAACGGCCGGAAGAATTTGTAGTGAGGACACTCTTGCGGACGAGCTTAGTTTCTTAATTGGCATTTTGGAGAGGAATGGCTATCCAGAAAAATTTGTTCGGAAAAATATGGAGTGCCGAGATGTGGGAACTATGCTAGATTCGGTAGAAAAGAAACCGGTTTATTTGTCACTGTCGTTCAAAGGGGATGGAATAGCGCAGGCAACATCTAGGTTAATGACGCTATGAACCATACTTACTCCGCAGCAAGCTTGCGACTAAGCTTTACTTCGACACTAATGGTGAGGCATCAACTCAAAGACAGACTTCCTTGGTCGAGTGCTTATTACTGTGTAGATTCCTTCTCTTGTTCATGTCGAGCAGACTACGTCGGAAGAACCACTAGTAGGCTGTCTGAGAGAATACGTGAGCATTGCCCAGGTAGTCTACACAATGGGGCAAGTGAAACTGTGATGAGCGCCGTGCTGACACCTTTGGTTTATTCTAACCAACAAATCGATACTTACCCATCTATCTAATTTACCGTGTACCATTTACCGTGTACCTGAGCGCCTTACACGAGCGGTAATATTCAATTATTCCACTAACTTCATCGAATTCTCTAAGCGGACAACGACAGTTATCATTAAGCAGATCTGACGGTGTAAACAAAACATATGTGTTCAAAATATCATGAATTCGCAGAAATCTATAACATTTCATCAGGCAAACTGTCTATGAGAGACGGCATTTCCCGTTTCCACTCATCATCAAATCCCATCGATATATCAAACAATTCTTCACCGTCTGTTCGTTCTTTTTGGCGGATTCGACGCTTCATGCTTACCCCCAATTTAAGGTGGTATTTTTTGATTCATTCGTTGAAATATGCGCCATTTTCTCTCTATTCTGAAGTAAGCAAACTCTTAACACTGTAAGCTTGGCAGAAATTCGTTGCAAATCCAGCCCATCTGTTTATGCATATCTGCGCATCCTTGATTTTTATGAGAACAGATCCCTGAATGCTTGGAAAGGAAACAAACGGAAACGACAATACCGAGATGCGAATTAAAGTGAAGCTGCTTTTGTGGGTACATTTTATTCTTATTCTGTTAAATGTTTCAGTGATGTGAAGAGTTCCGAGTATTTCTTCATCACAATATTTACCGCACCTGCTCGACTACTCCAACTAGATTTTACAGTCACCTGACACTTATACCGGCATTCAAGGCATTCAAGTAATCTTTAGATGACAAAGTATGATAATAGCCGATACATCGTACCATAAATGTAACACAGTAAACCGTCGCAGAAACTGCATGAACACAGAGAATGGTTTGTGTATGACACAAATGTGGACTTTGGGCTGTTTTCGCTGATACGTTTCTGGACACGCATTAGTGAGCGCGCCAAAACATAATCACTGTCAAATGCTTGGCCACGACAGTCATCAATCTGAATTCCATCTTTCTCCGGTTCTCTGCAAACCAGTTCGGAAATTTCCTCCGCCCTATTGCTGTTGGTCTTAAGGAAGCTGAGAAAATGCTCAACTACCGTCAGTTCATTGCTACTCATCTGATTGTTGTGAGACTCATCCGGAGTGTTATCAAAAAGTTAGCAAACATACTTGCCTTCCTTGACCTGATCTATGATTTTCTCACTTGATTTGCCAAAATGCTTACTAGTTCATTTTGAACATGTGGTGACAAAGTAAAGGTGATGATTTTCCTTCTCGGCTGAATTGTCGCCAAATGTGTGTCAACAAATGTACAATTCTGCAAAATTCCCTCTGTGTTGTGGCCTCTTTTGTCATCTCGGATGTCTCGGTGACCATACAGTGCCATGTGTTGCTTGGTGAGAAACCTGACGATATCAGGTATTCCAGGTAAAATTTCATACAACCATTTTTCTACAAATACATGCTACATTTGGCCAATTGCCTTTCCTTCAAATAGCTCTTTGCGATTGAGGATTGAATGAGCACGTGATTTACGGGATTCGTGTGCACATGCTTTTGGATTTAGTTTCCACCAGCTGAAAAACTAGACTATCATTTTAAAGAAATTCTGAAGTCGAAACCAAACAGGACCCCTTTTGAAGGAGAATACAACATCGATGTTTGCAATCCTCGCTCACCGTTTTGCAACTCCCGAAAAAAGCAGTTCGTCGTTATCTTGTTTGTCTCAGCTTTGCATTCGTTCTAGATAGCACTACTTATTATATTCATGACTGATATTATGCAACAGTAGATCCACGCCTGACAAGCATAGTAAGAATTTCATGAACAATCTTAACAAACCATTGACAGGCATCCAAATACTCGGTTGATGTGCGTGTTCTCGTGCAAAAATTTTGTTGCATTTCCAATTCTTCAACCTCGCGCATTCCTTCTGCATCAACATGGATGGGAGTACGTGTTCAGACGTGTTCAGCTTGTTGGAATTACGTGTCGAAGAAGTGTGCGTTACATGCTTAGCATTACGACGCATTAGGCATTACAAAATTTCCCGCTGCATCCATGCTCCCAATATCGCCATTTTTCGTCCCGATATCAACATTCGTGGTACCAATTTCATCTTCGGTCACCATATGACTGACTATCATCCTTCGTTTTTACCACTTCAGTCATGGAAATAATTTGGGTGAATTTACATTTGGTAGTAAACAAGCAACCGTATTATGACTAATGCCCCCCTGTCACATGCAGCTCAGGGCGGACCGTCCCCCGCCCCTTATGTTGCACCTCTGGTATCAACGCATGGGTTTTTTTGCTGGCACTTGTCTAACAGGCATGACGAGATGGGTGGCGACAGCTTTGATGCAGGGTTAGATTAACTCTTTACATGAATCGTAAATGATTATATATTCTGTTTTGTGGTACAATGATTTGCTATCATCGATAACTTACAACAGTAACCAAAAAGTTGGCAGCCAATAAAGCTTCGTTCCAATTAGTGCTCTGGCAACCGGGCTCCACTGGTGCCCATGCAACGTAGAATTGGATGAGCTTCTCAACTACTCGTTCCGACGTAGTGAAAGTTGGATAAGTGACGCGAAAAACGTGATGAAACAGGCTGTCCCACGGTGAAGCTAAGGAAAAGAAGAACGTTTTGTATATAGGAAAGCGAACGGTGGCTAATCAAGAAGTTCTGATTCTTCTGAATTTAGGAACTCGCGAAAAAATTAATTAAATTTGAGACAAGAAATCTAATTCACTTGAACTCTGCATTCCAAACCAAACAGCGAAATAGGAATATAGCCCATGGGCTCTTCACAACTGTTCTAAACTCCGAATATATTTTTACTTGATAAGAATGTGAATATTGCGCCTCTCAGTGGTTTGCGCTCAAGGTTACTAAGACCTTGAAATCCAGAGAGCATTTATCTCATTTCAGGTACCGCTTTACTCAGCTCATAATCTTGATCGAGTTCACAACGAGCGAGCTCCCATTCTTTTACACGGGAACGCTCGTTGCTCATCTACGGCGCTCATCTCTACGGCGCTCAGGTCACCTCTTCAGAGACGAAATAGGCTTTCGCCTAATAAGCGTCCCGTTTCGTGTAACGGTAAGCAAGCCAAGGACCCGGACACTTCGACGTTCAGGCTTCTTCCAGTCTTCAGAGATAAAAAAGAGTAGGAGCAATATCTCAATACTTCATGAAACTATTCGTGACATCCTATAGGCTATGCGATATTTGGTACTAATTTGAAGCCAATTTTCCAAGTTCAAATCTGGAAACAGAAGTCGCCAAAAATGTAGTGTGCATCCGGTCGAGGATTCGGAAGACTTCCGTTTCCAGTGCGTACGTAGGTAGTAATAGGACTGGTGATCAGGCACGAGTTTCACAAGCTCAGTGCACATAACAGAAGACAGCATGGTGAGCAATAGCTTTATATGAGTGAGCGAGATATGGGTTCCATCAGAAGCATAGCATGGTCATAATTTGCTTTAATCTCTCGCAGTTGACTGGCTGTAAGTGAGCATGATAGTCGCGTAAATGGGACGATGCTCACTAATAAAATGGAACAGCATGATGGTCGTATCATGTCGTGCTCCAGGTCCTTTCAGATTTTCATTGTATCATTTTCGTGCACATCGGTTAGGTTTGCCGAAATCCATCTGTTGAAAGCATTCACTCTGTTGTGCTTTCAGCAGAGGCTGTTTCTATCCGCATGTATAAACTCGATTTTTGGGGATACCAACGCGCATATTATTTTGATTTGTAGCCTAGTACGATAGGAGAGAGTCGTGACGTTTTAATGAACTCTTGCCCGTCCCATTACATCATCAAGTATGCAATTACAAAGAAAATTACGTTTCCATCTTAAACCTTTCTTGATCAGTCTGCTACCAACTTTTGCCTTCCACAATTTCAGTCCGTGTTTGAAATGGACCTGCTTCGCAGGAAGGTACCAGAGGCGACTGGTTTACAGTAGCCGCCCTACCCAAGTTTGTAGGATGGACAGGTGCAACACACAAAGCGCGGTAGCCAGTCATCTGATTTCGAGTTGACGATCGGCAAGCAAATTTATCCTGTTGCACGGCGCAATCAACCGGAAAACCGGTCAGTGGTGGTTCTGCCACCATGTCCACAACATCTGTAACCTTAATGGATGCCTTTTCGCTGCTCAAAGCAGGACTGGTATGTCCTCACTGTATTAGGCATTGCCATCTGAAATACATCAGCTTGTATCTAACCAAATAAAGAAATAGAGCTGTATGTCGGGTGCACATTGTGCTGTTCTGAGTATACGACACCCTTTTTTAAAATGTGTACTAGGTTTAGCACAAAATACGGGAGTATAAACGCCGAAACGGAAAATTGTTTAAATACAAATATTGCTTTACTTGAACTGACAACTGAATGGCTTGCACCTCATCCATCTTTCCAATTGCCATCACTAAACTAAAGCAAATGGCCAGGCGTTTGCGCGGTCTCCCAGTACCCGAAGCCTTGGGAACCCCGAACAGACCAGCCATCGCGAACGTTGCTTGTCCATATTCACTCGTTCAAAGTGTCGCTTGATACAATCTCAACAACACCTAAACTGCTGTGAGACAAGAACATAACGAACTTCACAATAGACAAGTCCACCTATGCAACCGTCGATGTTTAAGGTTTACAAATTGCCACTCCGGTAGCTTCAGCCGCTACAGCCACAAGATTTGTCAAGGACCGGGTACAACCTGCAGCGACGTCACCAAAGCCACCGATACCCATGCCACTCTTATTACGGAAGACCGGGTGGATTTACGGTGCTTTAATATTTGTAGACATTAACGTTCCTGAGTCCACGGCAAACCAACTAAGGGTCTAACAGCATGATGACCTGAAACGTTGGATTTCCATTTGATATCAGATCGGTGTTTGAGTCAGGCTGATTGACTTAATACGCACCACTAAACCTCAAGCCTCGTTGAACTACGGCGTCCGGACTAATACGGGCAACACTGGCATCCACAGAGTATGTCAAGGTGATGCGTTTAGTTGCATTTTGCCTCTGGTGTGAAGACTGGAATACGTATATTTCTGGATGTCCCATGGAAGGAATGCCAATGTGACGATGACAGTTCAAACGAGCAACACACGGACAGTAGTAACAGATTCGCTTTCGTCCACGCCTTGCCCGAGTTATCGGTAGCTATCGAAGGGGAAGTCTATGCCCATGATACGGAAGAAAGGCGTCACAGCCGCAAAACTCTAGGCTGGGGACGTCACACTTAGGTGAATTTCAAGGCTAATCTTACTGCCTCACGGAAAAGGCCGTGATCAGAGAGTACAGCAAATCAATGTTCATTTCCAACAAATGGCACGGAACCTAATTCTTAGCTATCTAATACAGTGCTACCCATTTTTTCGGAACTACGATTCAAGGCAGCAGTTGTAGGTACGCAGTCAATCACTGTCATCGAAGCAACAACACTAACCACGGCTCAATATAACTAGTTAGTTAGTGATAAAGCTAACGTTTGATTGAGTACTACATATGTAAGTGAGACCAAAACTTGATGACACCTAAGTAAAAATTTAGTACGTAAAGACGCTTAGGTACTGGTGTTCAATCGGTCGGCATAAACAAAACCCCTTTCATACACTCCTTAGCATTACAGCAGCCCGCGGAGGCAAAACCGAAGCTGTGGCATTCTGTGTTTTCTATGTGCAGTCGCAACGGATCGTGGATTATTATATACCCTTCGATTCTTCTTTTCCTCGCCGGAAAATGTTTGAAAAGATTCTACTGGTATTAAGGACAACTTTACAATACCTTCCCATTCACTGTCTGATCCGCTATACAGTGGAATTTCCCTGTTCATTTAAGTACACACCAACCGCTTTACTTATCCGGCACGGAATTACAAGCTGTATCCAGTACAACAACAAGCATGGGCACCATCCATCGCCGCAGCACTTAAATCGTCTTACCGATTTCGGAGATCTGTCAGAACTTATCGCCACTTGGTTATGTAACTAATGCTTTTTCTGTGGTTTTGATTGCACAACCTCCAAGGTGTCCAACAAACCTAGCTTGGCTCATACACAGTGTATTCTAAGGCAGCTACAGGGCACTTTGTGATCCATTGTCTCCCCATTATTCGTATCCAGCTTCGCACACATCCAGGATTTGACCCATTTCATCGGCAAGCCCTTCACACCGATCCATTGGTAGACTAATCTGTCCCACCAAGTTTGTGCACACGCGTGTAGACGAGTACCGTGTGGTTGACATCGAACATGTTTCATTCTTGACCCCAGAAGTTGCAGTGCCCCTCAAAATCCGCACGTGACCAGAAAAGTATAGCCATCATTACAAACATGATGTAAGGTTGCACGTGCTTTTCAGAGAAGTGCGGTAAAGACCTAAAGATGAGAATAAGGTGTTATGACTGTAGCACGTTACTTTATCCGAATTGCACAGGACGTTCTGTCCAAGAAATGAGGCAGATAAACAAAGCCGCTGGCGCATGCTGATTTTGCGCAAAAGGATGTCATTTCAGTTGTGATTTCGTTATGTGTTCTCATGATGTATTGCGATAAGTTGACCGAGACAACCAAGCACTTGTTGAATACTAAGATTCCGCCCTCGGAGGTGAATAAGGCCACGCTATCTCAACCGGCTAACTCAAGCTCCGCCTCAAGGCCGAATAAGCGAGCCAGAAGCTCCAACTGCACTGCAGCGTTGTGTCTCCAAAGCTCCTGGCCCATCTCACTCTCATAAGCGGACAAGCTTAAGTCCTTTTCGCTTCCACTCATTTCAGCGGTGCAGCCTGTTGCGTGCGTCGTTCTCCCAGCCGCGTCAAGAGAAAGAACTCACACCGGATCTGCACATAATCGTTCTATTCACAAGTTTAAGCTAATGTACAAATTGCTGTGATTTTAAAAACTCACGCGCCCACGCGATTGGTCGCCTGTTCGACCACACTGAAGCAGGAGATTCCCTTCGCCCCAGCTTTCAGTCACCATCACATGCTTTTCCTGTTATTTTAGTGTGTTGTTGCATCGAGTTCCTTACGGTTTTCGCCTGCACGTACGCTTGCTGTCTCGGGCTGAGGTTGCAAGTACCCTTCCTTGTTGCTGATGAGGATCCTCACTTTGCGGAGTCCGTCCATTACGTGCTGTCCTACTTTGCACCTGATTCCATCTAAGGATGTTGCTCCATATCCTGACTTCGTAGCCCCTATCACTTCTGCGACCCTCAGTCACCCCTCTCCGCCAAGGTTCTTCCGAATCTGGTATTGGTGGCACCCATAATTTTTCCACTACAGCTAGGCTTGGGAGGCATCTCGATCCACACCCATAGTATTCCTTTTTTCAGCATTCTCTTCTGCAATCGGTTGTGCACAGAAACTTCCGGAGCTATCTTTGGCTGTAATAGCATTGTAGCGGCCTGTAGCAGCGTTCATGTTACGCGACTGAATAGTCGCTGCACCGGACTTACTCCGATCTCGGTAGACGGCATGTTTCTTCACCCCAACACCACTATGTCGTGGGTTTGCTTGGCTTTGATAAGCACTTTATTCGCCTCCTTCACTGTTGACTCAGCCTTCCTATTTGCTTGGCTGTGCTAAGGGCTGAGGAGCCAATACCGA